TGTCAGTCCATCTCGTTGTCTGTTGATATAATTATTTGACTCCTAATATATAAGGTTGAATGATGGTTACATATTTTTACTGATTAGTGATGCCGGTTTATACACTTATTATGTTGAGAAAATACACTGATGACATAAACAGATTCATTATGAAATTTAAAAGATGTACAGACACATTTTCTTTTAATTTTAACTTACAAAAACCTTTTAAGGTTCAGTTCAATCATTACAGTCTTTAAAAACAAAAGGATTCAGGTTTTAGAGAAGAACATCACATTTATTGTAACTGTTCTGGTGTCTGACTGAGATGTTCTCAGTTATTGTACCGTTAAAACAAAGTGCCACACTGTTTTATATTCAAATGTTTTATAAAGCATTATGAAGGTGTGTATTTTTTTTTACATTCGATATGAAATGCCAAATTGGTAGCTGTGTGGAATATGAACTGCAGTGTGGTTGACATTTCTAAATGTAACGGTCGTTTTCCTTATGTTACCATTAACACTTTAAAGATAGTTCACAAAGATGCTGGTCAGAAAATGGTGACAGGATGATAAATTTCACTGCCCAGTGTTACATATGGCAAAACAAATGTATTTCAGTGAAAGCTGATAGGCATATTCTTTAACCGAAAAGTTTTGCTTTTTTTTTTTTTTTTTTTTTTTTTCATTTATTACAGAGAGCTCGAGCTATTTGTTAGCTGTTCCACTGCTAAAACTATGAATAAAATATATAAATGAAAACCATAGTATATCCTTTTGTTCAGACGCTCCCATACATGAAAGTCATCCTTCTATTTTAATTTTTGAATGGCCCAAATGATTAAGCTTAGTTATTTATTTTATTTTGCTCTATATTATATAGCTGCTTTGTTGTGTAAAGGTGAAAATCTGCTATAATATCTGGACATTTCAATTGTTTGCATTTACATTTTCATTTAGCAGACACTTTTAACTAAAGCGACTTACAATAGATGAATACAAGTGATTCATCATAAAGCGGCAAATAAACACAGGAAGTGCTTTTAATACAAAGTTTCAGACATCGTCCAGATTAGCACAAGCTAGAACAGGGAGGGATTAAAGAAAAGTAGAAGCAAAGTTTTATTATTATTATTATTATTAAGATGCAGTCAAATGTTGACGGAAGAGATGAATTTTACAGGAATATTGCCGCAGTGCTCACCTGTTCAAGCTGACAGATTTAATCACTAGGTATTATTAGGTATTTATAAGGCCAGGCAAGGCAGGTTTATTTATATAGCACATTTCATACACAATAGTAATTCAATGTGCTTTACATAAAAGAAAATAATAATAATAAAAAAATTATCACAACAATAAAACAAGGAATTTAAAAACTTTGAAAATGATTAAAAAACGATTTTTATAAGGAGAAAAGTATAAAGGCTCATTTAATTTGTATTAATTTATGAGAAAACTATAAAAAAAAAATCATTATAATTAATTTTTAAAACCTGAAATTAAAAGAAAATAAAAATATTTAATCAAAAAATGTAACTACATTTCAATGAAAATTAGAAATGTTGCCTGAAATAAAATAACTTTTAAGTTGAAGTACTAATATTACTAAAAACAAAACTGAATAAAAATTATTCAAGCTAATATTTAAAAAAAAAAAAAAATGACAAGCACATAAAATTATTTAAACTTATACTGAAATGAAAATGAAAATATATAAATAAAAGCTCATTCAAAATATTAAATACTACAAAAGTATACAAATAAGATTAAAATAAAACTGGTACTTTTAACTAATTGAGGTGATAAAATGTACAGCTATAGTCCAAATATTATGCAGATAGTACGCTAATTCTGCTGTTCACAGAATCAACTATAAGCAATTACATCCACGATTTTTACGACCATAAATCCAGACTCAAACTTTGCCTGAAACACAGCCCTTATGTTTCAGGCTCCCACAATGCTACCGGCTCAGACTAGTTATGACTTTTTTTTTTTACAAAAAGGTGATTTCCAAGGTGATACCTAGATGCCACTTTATTAAATGTGCAATAAAAAGGGATGCAAAGTTAAGAATGGAGTATGCGTACATCCTTGACAGGGTGTAGCATTCAGAGTCGAGGATGTTGGGATAATTCATTTAAAACTATAAGCAATTACATCCACGATTTTTACGACCATAAATCCAGACTCAAACTTTGCCTGAAACACAGCCCTTGTGTTTCAGGCTCCCACAATGCTACCGGCTCAGACTAGTTATGACTTTTTTTTTTACAAAAAGGTGATTTCCAAGGTGATACCTAGATGCCACTTTATTAAATGTGCAATAAAAAGGGATGCAAAGTTAAGAATGGAGTATGCGTACATCCTTGACAGGCTGTAGCATTCAGAGAGTCGAGGATGTTGGGATAATTCATTTAAGTCACTTTGATATTGAACACCAAGATATATTTTACCAAGATCATCCTCACATGCTCCTCTCTTACCTGAGCGTGACAAGACAGCAGTGGCGATATTCTCCTCCTCCTATCTCTTTTGCCCATAATGCTGGGCTTCTTAGAACTGGCACAATGGAGGTCTTCTTTCAGTATAAAGGAACTATAGACTGAACAAATGTTGCATATGCCTACACATGCCTTCACAACAAAACTGGGGATGATGATGTGATAGCCCGGAGCCTTGAGTAAATATGATCAATAGAACTGTCCTGAAAAAATGAATAGAAGTTGTCAGGAAGAAAGGCAGACTGTTGTATGTTGTTGCAGTCATGATAGACACTCTCATAGATAGGTCTGTTATTTTACTGAGATCATAATGTGGATTTAAATATCATTTCATGTGTCTGGAATTGAGAACATCCGACCTAGCTCAGTGCCTGTTTCACCATTTACCCATGGTGCTTAGTTTGGCTATGTACGCATCTCATCTTAAATGTGTTTATCGATATAGCCAGTAACACAATCCACAAACAGAATGATGTTTCCAGCAGTTACACAGATAATAAAGAAGAGATCCCATTCAGCAGTGTTGGGAAGGTTACTTTTGAAGTGTAATAGGTTACAGATTACAAGTTACCCTTTTTAAAATGTAATAAATAGTGTACCTATTTCAATGACTTTATTAAATTTGAGCAAATGTTTTCAACTGTTAATCATTTTAAAACATTTAAAGCAGGCACGGTTAACCTTACAGTACTCAACACTGATTACTGTCAGACTTTCAAAATCCTTCATCACTTGAATTAAGATCATAATCATTTAATTTCAAAGTGCAGCCACCACAAAATCAGACTTTAGCAGCTCTTTTTACTTTGAGATCGTTCTGAGGTTAAATATAGATTTAAAAATCATAACAAGAAATAGTTTAATAACTATGATACTGTTTTTGAAATCAGGAATGGCATCTAACGATGCTTTGGAAAAAAACAGTTAATCCTAAAAAATAAAGCATATACATAAAACCAGATAGGAAATAAAACAAATAAGCATATGTCCTATTCTGTGTCCTAAATAGGACACAGTCCTATCTGTCTTCTGAAACATTGGTGTCTCATATTTTAGAGCAGTCAATGCAATTTTGGAAATCAATCAAATCTGTATGTGTGAAAATATTCAGATGTGACCCCCTTTGTAATCAGTATCATTTTCTTAAGTAACTGTAATTTAATTACATTTTTTTCTCAGTAACAGATTACAGTTACATTTATTTTGTAATTACATTACATAATTCCGTTACATGTAACTTACTCCCCAACACTGCCATTGAGGTAACAATGAAGTTTCTTAATATAGAATCTGATTTAGTTTAAAGCAGGCACGGTTAACCTTACAGTACTCAACACTGATTACTGTCAGACTTTCAAAATCCTTCATCACTTGAATTAAGATCATAATCATTTAATTTCAAAGTGCAGCCACCACAAAATCAGACTTTAGCAGCTCTTTTTACTTTGAGATCGTTCTGAGGTTAAATATAGATTTAAAAATCATAACAAGAAATAGTTTAATAACTATGATACTGTTTTTGAAATCAGGAATGGCATCTAACGATGCTTTGGAAAAAAAAACAGTTAATCCTAAAAAATAAAGCATATACATAAAACCAGATAGGAAATAAAACAAATAAGCATATGTCCTATTCTGTGTCCTAAATAGGACACAGTCCTATCTGTCTTCTGAAACATTGGTGTCTCATATTTTAGAGCAGTCAATGCAATTTTGGAAATCAATCAAATCTGTATGTGTGAAAATATTCAGATGTGACCCCCTTTGTAATCAGTATCATTTTCTTAAGTAACTGTAATTTAATTAAATTTTTTTCTCAGTAACAGATTACAGTTACATTTATTTTGTAATTACATTACATAATTCCGTTACATGTAACTTACTCCCCAACACTGCCATTGAGGTAACAATGAAGTTTCTTAATATAGAATCTGATTTAGTTCAGCAGCACCGAGTGTGTCATAGAGCTGGTCTTGCTGGTTGCCGCTTGCTTTTTGTAGTAAAAAAGTTTTCATTTTTATTTCTAATAAGATTTTTGATGACACTTTTAACATGAATAATTGTGCTGTGTATCCCTTGTCTCATATTTTAGAGCAGTCAATGCAATTTTGGAAATCAATCAAATCTGTATGTGTGTGAAAATATTCAGATGTGACCCCCTTTGTAATCAGTATCATTTTCTTAAGTAACTGTAATTTAATTAAATTTTTTTCTCAGTAACAGATTACAGTTACATTTATTTTGTAATTACATTACATAATTCCGTTACATGTAACTTACTCCCCAACACTGCCATTGAGGTAACAATGAAGTTTCTTAATATAGAATCTGATTTAGTTCAGCAGCACCGAGTGTGTCATAGAGCTGGTCTTGCTGGTTGCCGCTTGCTTTTTGTAGTAAAAAAGTTTTCATTTTTATTTCTAATAAGATTTTTGATGACACTTTTAACATGAATAATTGTGCTGTGTATCCCTTTAAGGGAATTCCACTGCCTCCTTGTGGCCACAACTTAAAAAAAAAATGGTATACAGTTTTGGGGCAGGCTTGTGTATTTTTTTTCCTCGGCTTGTTTTCACTCGGAGTGAGGGATCGGAGTTGACAAAACAAATGTGTTCCGTGGAGTCACGAATCCGTGCATCACAGTTCAGGTGGATCTAGATGATGGACACGGAGAAGAGAATCCAAAGGAGTACGCGCGGACTACACGATCAGATTTCACCGCTACATTTCACGAATCAGTAACATCTAAACATTTTCTCAGACTCGTATGACAACAGCGGTCGATCACTGGCCGGTGGTTGTCCTACCGCAGGGCAGTGAGTGTCTGATGCCGAGTTTGATTCGCTACCTTACTGCGAAGTTGCTGTCGCGCTTACCTGTTTATATGAGTTTTGAATGCGTAATGAGGTTTACATTGGCGAGACCACTTGTTGAAATCTCACAAAACTAAGTTCAGTGTTGTAGGAAATACGATTGATTGAATTTACCATATAAGTGGGCCGTTTAAAGAGTCGACCGACTGTTTGTTGTCATTTATAGTTCGTTTGTGATAAATCGGTTGTGTCATATCGCTCATTAGCTGGTTAGCTGTCACGCCTGACTTTATCCTGTAACTGACCGAGCAATATCAATCAATTACACACATTTAGACAGTTATATCACCAACTGTCTATCTTAATTCATAAATAATGGTAGGCACTTAAATATGTATGCGCAATAACAAAAAATATACACAATTTAAAGTGTTCTCGTCAGAATCTAAAGTATTTAGCTCGCTAGCTAGAGTCGTTACTGAACTTGTTTCGTAAATCCAAGTGAAATATTTAAGCTTTTCTGTTTGGCATTGCACAGTATTCCACATTTTTTCCCACGATACCAAGCAAGAGCTGGTTTAGTGATGCCAAACAAAACTGTCATAAACACTTGAATATTTAGCGATGTCCAGTTTCCTGACAAACTTTGAGCAAATTCTGCTCATCGCCTTTATACAAATATTGGCGTTATAAGTAGAAGGAATTCTTATATATCCTCGTTACTTTGCACTTAAGCTGAATTAAGTCCATTAAGTCGTTAATAATACGGTTTCATCACGTTTTCCAGCTCATTAATGGTGGCAAATCTCATGTCATTAAAGCCACCTCGTCAAACCTCTCTAAAGCATCTGGACTGCACTCTTACACGCTTTTCAGACATGAAAGGACAAATTAAACACATTTGACTTCTCTATCGACAACATTCAACCGTTAGTTCCCTGCGAAGTTGATCTCGAAACTCTGCGGCCCAACCATGTCTGGATCCCCGGGCTCGAGTGGCTCCAACCCGCGGAAGTTCAGCGAGAAGATCGCGCTGCACAACCAGAAACAGGCGGAGGAGACGCGGGCCTTCGAGCAGCTCATGACAGACCTCACCGTCTCAAGGGTAAGCACAGCCAAATTTGGATATTACCTCGCTCCCTCGATTTCATACATCAAGTGCAGCTGCCTAAGTTTGTCCTATGCACAACTGAATCACTGTGAATGGAAAATACCCGACACATCGAGTTCATGAGGAGGGATGAGAATGGCAGTGGCTGACTGCTGTCAATCACACTGCACACACATTCATATGGACATTATGAAAGGGCTGATGCCTTGAATTTATCTCATCATATTTACAAATCTTCTCCTGAGCAGTCGTTAATTATATTTTGCCTGAGCTGTAAGTAGCAAACCTATTTTTTCTTTGAGTACAGATGATTTTGATAGTCATACATAAGTCACCATGGCAACCATAGTTTCCAGCCAAGATGCCATACTTACTACAGCTATTGTTACTACTGTAAAACTGTGGTAACAACAACATATGAGAGAGAATGAGCACAGAAACAGCAGTGATGTTACAATGATGCCGTCCCCGGGTGAGCATTTGCATATGTGGGGTGAGTAGCTCAAGACTGTAAAAAGTTCAAATAAAATTTTGCCAGTAAAAATCTTTCCAAACATTTTAATGCGAGTTAATTTGAACACATGGGCAGCACTTTTATTTTTACAGTTATTATTTTAAGTGTGTGAAATGTAAAGTTTGTTTATTGTGAATTTGCAGCTGTGCAAAGGAGGGAGTTTATTTGTTTGCACTTTGCAATGGATAATGTACAGTCAGTCAGTGGTTATTGGAAAATAAACCAAACATGGCTATCAGACCCTTAAAATGGAAGGTTGATATAAGTCTCAGGTTGATATAAGCCCCCTTAACGTTGAGGTCTTATTCAATCTGTCAAATTTAATAATAATAATAATAATTTTAATTTAAAAACTTCCTTTTAAAAATTCAGGGTTGTTTTTTTTTTTTTTTTTTTTACTGTACTTGATCTTGCATATTACATGGCTGCTTACCAAATAAATCAAAGACAACATAGTTATATAGTGGTTAGTTATACAGTGTTGACCTTGACAACGATCATAATTTAGAAATACTTTACCACTGGTTGTAGCGACTAGCCAACCAGAATCATGTATCATGTACAAAGAGTGAAAAATCAACATCAACAAGAGAGTATGTAAAAACACTCTTAAAAATAAATATTCCAAAAAGGCGTTTTCGCAGTAATGCCATATAAGAACCATTTTGGGTTCCCCAAAGAACCTTTCAGTAAACAGTTCTTGAAATTACCCTTTTTTTCTCTCCTCATTGTGAATATTTTAATCATCGTAAGAACATTTTTTTCCACCATAAAGAACCTTTTGTGCAATGGAAAGGTTCAATGGACGTTAAAGGCTCTTCACGGAACCATAGATGCCAATAAAAGACCTTGTGTTAAAGGGATAGTTCACCCAAAAATGAAAATTTGATGTTTATCTGCTTACCCCCAGGGCATCCAAGATGTAGGTGACTTTGTTTCTTCAGTAGAACACATTTGATGATTTTTAAGTCCAACCGTTGGAGTCTATCAGTCGTATAATGCATGGCAATGGTAACAAAATCTACGAGAGTAAAAAAAAACATGCACAGACAAATCAAAATTAAACCCTGCGGCTCGTGACGACACACTGATGTCCTAAGACACGAAACGATCAGTTTG